GTTGCATGTGGGGCGATGGGATTACACATTTTTAAACGTATTCATTTGCGCCAGTGTGGCGTCAATAGCAAGACGCGTTCTCCCCTGGGTTTAGGGACACGCCTGAATGCTATTATCAGAGTGGCAAAAACTTGATCAACTCGCTGACTAACATTTGAGAAAATGGAACCAATCTCTCAATTAGTTGCCCTATCAAAATTGTGAGCGCCTCTTAATTTTACGTTTACACTGCGACTTTCAGCGTCGATTTGTTGAAGTTTATTAAAACTCACTAAACTTTCAAGAGAAAGTTGATAGTTGTAAACCCAGCTTAACTGTAAGCTGTTAAGTAACACGGTGTGCTTTTACGTGTATGTGTATGTTTGCATTGGCTCGTGTACGCCGTGGCGTGTGCTTGTGGGTGGGCGTGTGCTGTACATAGTGGTATGCTAGGCAAATTCAAACCAGATTTCAAAAATCCTAAAAGGGTTCAGATAGACTTTAAAAAACTTATACTATAATTATATATATGTAACTAGAGCACTCGGAGAGCGCAGACCTCCGCCAAGCAGCTCAATTCTCTCCTTGTGAACAATTTTATTAATTAATTAATTATTACAATAATTATGAATCCGGATTCACCACCAAATGCCTAATACAATTCAAGTTAGCCCATTTCTGACCTATTCCTGAAAATTAATTAATTTAATTAATTAATATTTAGGATCCGGATCACGCACCAAAATCTAATCAATTCTAAGGTTAGCCCATAAACTTCCTGACCTATCCTTAAAAATTATAAATAATTAATTAATTAATTAATTGGGATCCGGATCACCGACCAAAATCTAATCAATTTCTTAAGTTTAGGCCATTTACTGACCTATCCTGAAAATTTTATGACAATCCGCTCATAACTTTTTTAGTTATGGCTGTACACAAACAAACAAAACAGCCACAAAACCCACAAACAACAAGCACACGCCGGTGAAAACATAACCTCCTGCCAACCTCTTGGCGGACGTAACAAACCACTTCTCGTGCGCGACACCAGCGCCAACTAATGGTCAAAAAAGTGTAAATCATTTTACTCGGTATTGCGGCGAATTATTCTATTGAAAAGACTAGGCTTTTGGTGATATTATTATAATCAAACGCCGTGGGATCCGAATGTTTAATGTAACACTATTCCTGAGTATGCACACGTTTCTTATTTAAATCTGTGAATAAATTATCTAAAGTATATGGTTTGGCACTCTGTCTTGGTCAAAGATATAATTATAACAAGAGCGTATAAAGAAGGGCGTATCCTTCTTTATACGCTCTTGTTATAATGTATTAGCACTATATATATCTATCGTATTGGCATCGTACGCTACTCCTGATCTGAACACAATATATACATTGTTACGTAACATGTATAATATTATGTATGAGTATATTTTTACAGTATCACGTATAGTACAATAATGTATGTACACAGCAATGTTACATATATACATTGTAAAAATAACACATATAATATAATAATACATTTATACAACAATAAAACACGTATATATTCATTGTTCTCAACTTCTGATGCGCGATCCTGGCGCCGACCAGCGGCAAATATAGAGGTAAATAATTTGTCTCTGCGTTTTGGGACTGTTGAAAATATTGGGGTCTTTATAGCCGTTTTAATGGAGACAATATATACATGTCCCAACTACACTATTTCTGAGAATGCACACGTTTCCTTTTTAAATCTGTGAATGAATTATCTAAATTATATTATGGTTTGGCACTCTGTCTTGGTCAAAGATATAATTATAATGTATTAGCACTATTTATATCTATCGTATTGGCATCGTACGCTACTCCTGATCTGAACACAATATATAAATTGTTACGTAACATGTATAATATTATCAGGAGTCTATCAATAGATTGATAGATATATATTGATAGACTCCTGATATTATGTATGAGTATATTTTTACAGTATCACGTATAGTACAATATGCGTGTACACAGCAATGTTACATATTGTGAAAATAACACAAATAATATAAGAATACATTTATATGTTACATGTTATAATTTTTAATTTATAT